CCACCGCGGTTACGGGGAACCCACGTTGGCTTGGAGTACGGGTGGGTGTCCACAGCTTCCGCCACGCCGACGCACAGCTTGCGGAGAGCACCTGCCCCCGGCGTCAGGCCGGCGATTGTTCGGGCTCGAGCCGCGGGAGCAGCCGCTGTGATCCGCTCAAGCACGGGGCCGCATATGAGTCTGGGGCCGCGGCCCTAACGCAATAGCACGGGGTGGCTGCCCTCAGCAAGGCCAGTCACCTGAATTCTGGAGATGGAAGGCCAAGAGCAGGCTTGGTTTCTCCCGAGGCCCTTTCCTTGGCTTGCAGGAAGCTGCTCTGTGTTCTCACAGGCCGCCCCACTGCGGGTGCCTTGCCGGCCTCTCTTCCTCTGCTTACAAGGACACCAGTGCTATCAGACCAGGACCCAGCCTTACCACCTCACCTGACCGTAATCACCTCCCCAAAGGCCCTGTTCCCAGAGACAGCCGTATTCTGTGGCATGGAGGTTGGGGCTTCAACACAAGGCCTGTAAGGGGACACAGTTCAGTTCACAGCAGGTGTGAAGGGGACAAGAGGACCCGTTTCTGAGCCAGGCTTCCTCATTTGTACTGGTTCCAGAAACGAGGAAGTGAGAAGCTTAGGGTCCCACAGTGTGAGGGGCAGCACACTGCAGCATCAGGGGCAGACCTGTGTATCCAGGGTGATCCCCACACCTGGGATCGCCCACCCCCGCTGCCTGCTGGGCATCACGTCCCCATGGTCTCCCAGGTATGGCCTCCCTTTCTTGAGAACCCCTGGTACCTGTTCCTGCCATCCAAGCCACTGCACCCTGCACCAAGACTCTCCTGAATCCCAGGGCTTCTGCCCGACCTACTGGTGCTCCGGGAGGTGGCACAGTGGGTGTCAAGGGACCTGGCCTGCAGTCCTGAGGCCTTGGTTCCAGGGCTGGCAGAGCTGTGTGGCCTTGTGGGCGTGCTTCCCTCTGTCCCCTCATCTGGGAAATGAGGGCGCTGGGTTGGGCTTCCGTTCCTGTTGTCCTGGTCTTTTTCTCAGTATTGGTAAAAAATTTGGGGGAGGTGATGGGCACTGGTATTTGCTGGGGTTGTGCATTGGAACACTCCATCTGCTAGGGCGATCTGGTAGGATATTTCAAAAGTGCTAAAGAATGTGCATATCCAAGATTAGTCCCTGATGACACATTCCAAGAGCGAAACTGCTGAACCGAAGATGGAGCTGGGAGGGGCCACTGGTGTCGGCTCCTCACCCTTTACTCTCACGGACATCAAATGCCCAACACGAATGGACTGAATAAACAAACCATGGAACCTTACATGATGGACACACAGACATAAAATGTGAATTTAATGATTTGGGAACAGTTTTCACCCAATCAAGAGGAAAGTCTAATTACAGAGCAATCCATAGTGTCATTTCATCCATGTGAAAATACAAAGATCTGGAAGGGTGATAAACCAGGAATAAACAATGGTTACTTCTGTGTGATGGGATTATAGAGAGCTTTAAATATTTATTTTCTGAAGTTACAATGTATATTCATTGCTTTTATAATAAGAAAACCCATGAAAAGTCATATTAAAAAATAACTTATGCAGTTTTGGCAAATGCTGCTGGCTGGCTAATTTTACAGCTACGGACTCCCTCCCCCCTCGCTGCTCCTGCTTTTCCACTGTCTATTGTTGAATCCCCACCCTTCTTGCTTCCCTGACATGGAGGGCAGCCAAGTGATGGAGCGCTAGCCAGTGAGATGCAAGTGGAAGTCTGCTGGGTACAAGTGGAGGTTTCTGAGAAAGCCACATCTCTTGGTAAAAGGAAGGGACAGTAATGGCCTTTCTGAGTCCCTTTTCTTCTCCTTGGAGTGTGGGGGCGATGCCTTGAGCAGCAGCAGACCTCTTGTGGTGAGGTGATAAGGTCGGGAGAACAGAAAGGAAAGCCTGTTTTTGATGACATCCTTGAATCACTGTATCCACCCTGGGCTCCCTCCCTCCACACTTACTTTAATGGGTGGTAATTCCAATATAACAATTCTGATTAGACTAGTTATGAATGCTTTTAGCTGCAAGTAACAGAATTTAGGTCTCTCTTCTACGTCCTAGATCATTCCTACTGCTTCACATTGGCTCCGTGGAGAAACAGGGCATCTTTGCCAGGACCCTCTCTTGGGGCACCAACTTGGAATTAGCCTCTGAATGTTTGGTGGCTGTAGGAGGAGACATGCACTGAACGTCTCTTGCAGGTTGGGGGATGTGTTAAGCATTGCTGTGTGCCAGAACAGAGCAGGTCACTGCACGAGACAGCAAATTAGCTGTCCCTGAGAACACTGACTAAATGCCAGGCATTGTGCCAGGTGCTAGGGAGGCCAAAGAGCAAAACAGACTCTGACTCTGTGCTTCTGAAGTCTCCTGCTTGGTGGAGAAAGAGTATATTGCAAAATCATAGTTATTTCTTTGCTTAATTGAGTGTGCAGGGTTTTGAAGTACATGGTGCCACATGAGTAATGGGTGATTGGCCTGGTCTGGGACTTAGGGAAGGCGGCCAGGAAGCTCTTTTCTTTCTGTGTGTTCTGCATGACGCATCCAAAAGTCCTGTGACAGCCTCTGGTCACAATGCCCCATTGGAAGGCATTCTTCCCTTTTGGCAAGAGCCTTCATTTGTGGGCTTGGTTGCTCCCATCAGTAACATGAAGGGACTGGACTCGATGGGCTTCTGGGTTCCCCGAACTTATGAGTTCCCCGACCTGTGAGTGCAGCTGAGAGGAATCCACCTATGGGAACAGTGCAGAGGCAGGCTGGAGTGGTGAAGATGGCAGCTGCGTCCTCCCCAGCCTTGGCAAAACTGGGTCCCACATTCACTGATGACACAAACACCTACTGTGTGCCAGGCACTGTTCTGTGTACCAGTGAGCCAAGCAGACAATTATCCCTTCCCTCGGGGGGTCACCGTCTAATGGGAGGAGACCAGATCACACGTAAATGACGTCAAGAGTCGGCAGGTGGCAGCTAAGGCAGGGCGGGCAGCAGTATTGCTGTGGACAGGGACACACACCCCATGGGAAGGTCAGGGTGGCTTCCACTAAGGGGAGAGAGTCAAGCTGAAACCTGGGGACAGTGTGTGTGGAGGCCTTGGGGATGATGGTCAGTGCGGGGAGTGCAGGAAGATGGGTGGGAAGCGCAGGTGGACCCGTGGGGCTGGGGGCACTTGTTTCAATAGGATTGCAGGTCAGCCTCTATTTTCTGAGTCAAACATAAAGGGCTCAAGAGTGGGAGACTGGTAACTCATGCAGCAAACTGTTGGTGGGTGTGGCCTCCCTGTGTCTGCCAAAGACGCCAATGACATGTACTTGCTTCTAAGTGGTTCTGATGTACCTTTAAATGCTTCTAGCTTTTGTAATCATAAAAAAAAAATTCACATCATTAAAAAGGGGTTATCTCTGGGGATAGGATTATAAGGGACTTTCACATTCTATCTTATACATCTGTAATCCTTTTGATTTTGAATGGCTTAGTCCTTGAACAGTGTGATTTTTTTTCTGTTATTTGTTTTGTCTCTAAATACTGAGGAGGTATTCCTCTAGGCAATGTACAAGAAAAAATAGTACAGGCAAAGACAGAAAATAATTGAGCTTCACAGTCAAAAAGTCACACATAACCTCTCACATGGAGTCAGGCCCCAAGGGAACATCCTTGGAAGTTCACTCCAGGAGGGCATGGATTTTTTTCTCTCACTTCTGGTGCTTACTCTCCCTGTGCTCAAGTGTTTCAAGCAGAAGACAGAAAAGTCTGAAGGCAGTCTGTCCCACTGGGGTAGCCTGCTTTGGGGGAGGACTGTGCAGGAGGGAGGGGGGCCCTCAGGACAGTAAGCAGCAGACACCTCTGGAGCCGGAGAGTCCACTCCCCAGTTGCGAGACCTTGAGCAGGTTAACCTTTCCGAGTCTGTTCCTCACCTGAAAAACGGGAATAAGAATCCTGCTTCCCTTCCCAGGGTTGCCCGGTGCCGGAATGAGATGACACAGGAAGAACTGTGGCTATGGAAATAGAGGGCGAGGCTGTGTGGCCTAATGCAGGTTACCTGACCTTACTGAGCCCACAATTCTCCATCTGCAAAATGGAGCTGCAACAGGGCAAGGCTGGGTGGGCATTTCCACAGCAGGCTGCAGACATTCCCCACAGCCAGGCCAGCAGCTCCTGTCCCCCAGTGGACCCTGCACTGATTCCATCCGAGACCATGACTGATGGACAGCTGGCTCCACTGCACCCCAGACCTGGCACCATGTGGTGGGGCTTCCTACACTCGAGGCCTCAGCCTCAGGTCTCCTTCCTTCTGTTCCAGGCCATGCCCTAGAAATGAGGGGGAGTGGGATTCAGGAGTCCCTAAGACTGAACTAGATAGCTGGAGGGTCTATCAGAATAAAGAAATCAGGTTTCACTAATTTTACTTTGATCCACTTTTCTATCAAAACTTTTTTCTGGTATGCCTTTTAAAACGGTAATTAAAAATATTCTTTAGTCTGTATGAGGCTCTTTATGAGATTTTTTAGTGGACAGGGGGAGTGGGGGAACAGATTTTATTGCCCTGTCCCCCTTTAAAAAAATCTATGAAAAGCTAACACCATGGCGGAAGCCCGCCTCAGCTGTGGGAGGCCTGTGAATGCTTCCTGACATGTCAGCTCTGTGCGTGCCAGGTGCTCTGGGCAGCCTCACCACAGGAGGTAAGATGCAGCACATGGGAACTTCTGCCTTGTAGCATGGGGGGAAAGGGACCCTCACATCACTATATTGTATTGTCTTACTTCCCTGGGCCAGTACCTGTTGAGAGACAGATGTGTGGGGATGAAAATGTCCTTGGCTGTGGCTTGCACAAGGGATGCATAAGGGAGGGTGTGTGTGCCCAAGGTAAATGTCTAGCGATTACAAGCAAAACAGAACATCATCTCCTCACCTTCAAAAAAAGAAACCCACAAGGTAAAATAAAATTTTCAAGTCCATATGAAATGATTGTCCAGTGGGTTTAGTCTTTTATTGCTTTATGTTTTAAAGTCAGGGTTTCCCCAAATTACCTGCCAATCATAAATGGCTTTTTAAATCGCTCAGACAATCACAGGGCGCTCTGAGCTCGCAGCTGACTCTCCTGGTGCCCAGCAGTTTCTTCAGGAGGCAGCAAATGGAATGCCGGTCCCAGAGTGGGTCTGAGAACACCCACACGCCTCCCGTCTCTGCTCCAGCACGCAGATGCCTTATTCCTGGGGGCCGGGTTACTTTCTCTCTCTTTGCCTCTAGTTCCTTTTTTCCAGATGGGATTGTTGTAAACTCAGATGAAAGAAACAAAGATTTTAAAATGGATCACATACTGTGCTAAGGATTCAATAAACGGGGGAAAAAATCTAAACCTTTAAATTGGTGGACTTCTACCTCCTAATGTCCCTGCTGTGAGGGATAAAGGATGTTCTGGGGTGTTTATTTGAGTGAAGAAGAAAAGGGTCAGGTTTCCACAGCCCAGAACACCTGAGAATTTACTTTTAAAACTCAGAGAAGTGGGTTTTTAAAAACTTGTTCCACATATAGTAAATGCCCTAAACTTTTCACACGACTGCGGATGGCAGGTGTGGGCACCCCACTACTGCGACCTTTTATCATTCGGTACTGAAGGCAGGTCTTCCCATGTCTTTTACTCTGCTTCAGTGGTGCTCAGGCTTCCCCATCCCCTAGAGGGCTTGTTCCGTCCTGACTGCTGGGTCCTACCTGAGATTTCCAGCTCAACAGGGCTGGAGGATTTGCGTGTCTGCCACGTTCCCAGGAGACTCTGGTGTTGCTGTCTGGGACCAGACTTTGAGGACCACTAATTTATTTAGCATTAAACATTTACTCAGGAAATGTCCTTCCTAAACTAGCTTTCCCCAGAAGCACTGGCCAGGGCAGCAGATGGTGACCAGTCTGAGGACAGATGGAGGAGGTACTGTGTGTGTATGACAAATTTCCCACACCACCCGGGCTTTTAGCTGTTTGCAATGGGACCTCTTGAGGGAACCCCATAATTTGGAATATGGCTAGCTGCAAATGTAGGACCCCAAGGCAGTTATTAGATTCTAAACCTAGAGCTTTAGATGGTATAGATCCCCAAATCCAGGTTTCAGAAAAGGGCTGGGGATGGACACTCTAGTCTTCCCAGCCAGGCAGCCCCAAGTCTAAGTGGAGGGTCTGGAATGTTCTGGAGGAGGATAGGCTGCATTTGCAACAGTGGGTGGAAGTGTGTAGGCCAGGCATGGGCCTCTGACTGGGCTCAGCCCCAGAAAATGCTCAGCTCCAAGGGCACACACATGTGGCTTTGCAGACTCCAACCTCTGAAGGCATCTGGGCACACTTCAAGTGAATTTACCACATAACAACAAAATTAAGTAGACCTTCCTCTGGTTCTTAAACAGCTCTCTCATTCTCTCAACTTGACCCCATTTTTTATTAGGTTTTCAATCAGGTTCATTATGAAGTTGCTTTAAACAAGGTTAGACTCTGACCTCTTAGGAAGGCACAGCCCATAGGAAGGAGAATACTGCCTCGTCTCCCTGGCTTAAGGAACCAGATTGGTAGCCTCTGACAATGGAGAGGGCTTTGCTGGGTCCCTGGAGCCACACTTGGGGCCTTGTGTCCAGCTCTGTCCCCTTCGTTCTGGACCTTCAGCAGCATGGAGCAGTGGCTCAGGGAATGGGCTCTGGGCCCAGACTGCCAGGATTTGAATGCTGGTGCCACCAGTGACCCATGTATGGATGCCATGGTCTTGGTACTTACTTGGCAGGGTGGTCATGTGACCTGCCAGTCCTGAGGACACTGAGGCACTGAGTCGACAGTGGGATGTATACAAAGTGTGGCACCTGGCTTGCTGCTTCTACTCCAGAAGTGCCTGCTGTTATGACTATGCCACTGAAAGGAATCAAAGGCCCAAGGCACCAGTGGGCAAGAGAGGGAGTTTGACCTTGAAGGATACTTCTGGCTCAGGCTGTGCTCAGCCATTCATTAAACACATGTATTCTTGACATTCTACTCAGTGCCAGACACTGAGCTAGGCTGGGGTGCAGCAGTGAATGAGGCTCAATGTTTCTGCCCTCAAGGGCATGTAGCTAGCAGGGACCCATTAGTGGGGATTTCCGGGAAAGAATGCACAGTGACAGAATGAAATGATGCTCTGAAGGGGCAGGATTCAGCTTGCCGAGTGCTGGCCAACCATTACCGGCCTGCTGTCCTGCTTGAGGAGCCTGTAGGCAGTTGTGTTGTCTGAAACTGGGAGGACAGTAAGGCAGCACTCCTGGGGAGGATGGTGGGCTTGGGAGCAGTCCAGGCAGCGCTGGGCCACCGATGGCCCTGGGGCAGGGGGAGCCTAACGGAGGTGAGGACTGGAGAGGGGTCTTGCGGCAGGGTGCCAGGGGGAGGGAGGGCACGGAGGGAGAGTGCATCCCACCTTTAGGTCCCAGTGCAGGCTGGCTGACTCTTTAAGTAGTTTTAAGGCCGTGGGTAGACAGATTCACGTGATGTAGGCTTACATTTTGAAAGGATCATCTGGCTGTAACAGAAGAAATGGGGATGGAATGGAAGCAGAGAGGGTGTGGGGAGCCCGGAGGAGGGGTCACGACTCTGGAGACTCCTGTGAAGGGCCTGTGGGCACACGGCTCCTGAGGCCCCCGGGATCATGGCACAGCAAGTATGCAGTACGGCCCAGGGTGGTGCCCTCCTGATGCACGGATGCTGCCACTGAGCACCACAGTGTGAGCGGCACCAGCTTGGAGCCTGTTGGTGGCAGGGAAACCGGTAAGCGGATGGATTCTGAAATGTGCAGTTGATATGTTTTAAGGAGAAAGCAGGAAGACCTTTCTAAAAAATGGGACTCTTAACTCTCAAGATGCTCTCCACAAGCATGACTTAGTACACATTTCAGAGATGCCTTAGCAGTTCGGCGATGGGTTGCGAGGCAGAGCTTCCCAGAGGCAGTGACTCACCTCCCAGAACTCCAAGGGGGCAGAGCCACGGCTGCTTTAGTCCCTGGCTTCATCCTTGTGGCCTCACTCTGTGCTATGCCTGCACGGCCTTATTTCTGTCCATCCCTCTGGCTTCTGATAGGACAGCAGTGCAGCCCTGAGATGCCATAGAGCCTGGGCTCACCAGGGTGGCCCTGGTGCTCTCTCCATCCCACTGAAGTCTGAGAGATGGACACGGCCTTTTTCTCGTGCCTCAGGAAGGATGCCAGTCAACCCACACATCCATCTTTAAACTCCCCCTTGGCTCTGAACTACATCACACATAAGATTTAAGTCAGGCATGTAGGCACTTGGACTTTTTTCCACCTCTGCCAGGAGGAGAACCCACCTGCCAGCACAGGTGCCAGGCTGTGCTCCCAGGACAGGAGACCCCCAGGACAGGAGACAGACACCCTAGGAAGGGTCTTCCTGTGCTGGCTCCCATCCAGCATGGGGACACATGCCTGATGGAGAGCCTGGAACTCACACTCAGAGCAGCTTTACCTCACCAGGGAGTCTGTTTCCAGCTTGGAAACCGGACATGTTCCCTGTCTACCTGGCTGCAAAAGGCCTTCTTCTCTCCGGGAGTGTCCCCAGAGGCTACCACCGAGGAACTAAGGCTTCTCATCCCTCCACTTTGCCCTATTCAAAGCTGCTACTACCATGTGTCAAAACAAAGTCCAGTCCAGCACTGTGTGCTCCAGCGCCCGGGAGGAAGTGTCCAGTTAGGGCCACTTTGCACATGACTCCACATTCACAGTGGGAGCCTCGGCAGCACTGTTTCCTCTGTGGGAAGCTGCCGCCCCAGGAGTGGCCTCTCCTTTAAAAGAGGAGCTGTCTGTATTGCGGGATAAGCCGTTAGGGTGCCGTGTCTGCGGTGGAGTCTGCGTGCTGGGACCCGGAGTGCAGAGGTGCCAGGGTGCTGCCTGTGGTGGGGTGCGACCCTGGTGTTGTGAAGTAGCCGTTTTCTGATTGGCAACGGCCTGATTCACAACACCAGCTGCCCCACCGCACCTGCCGGGATGTCTCTGGAGCGGCTGGGGCCATGGGCTTACTCCACAGTGCTGCAGCTCTGGACAGAGGACAGAGGGCAACCGTAGGTTAGAGCAGGGACGTGAGCAGGCTCACTTCCGTCTCCCTCTCGCCCCCAATCCCACTGACTGTTCTTTTTTGTTGTGTCTTTTGTGAGCCTTCCTGTCCCCAGGGTCGTGGTGGATCCACAGGCCCCATGCAGCCCTGGACCCAAACCTATCCATACACTGGTGCATCCTTGGGAAGGGGTCTCGGGCTGCCAGTGCATCTCAGGGGGAAGCACAGCCTTCTGCAGCTGGCATATCTCTGCCCTGGGACATGTCATGGTGACCAAGTACATTCTGGGTAAAGGTTTGACCAAGGTTCCTTCCTCACTGATACTTATATGGAAGGACCGCAAGGATACCCGCCACCCTGGTGCCAGACAGAGACCATCGAGTGTCACCTTGTGCTCTGCCAAGACCCCTTCCCTCTCAATGTGTCTGCCTGTCCAGGGTCCCTGGAGCTCAGAGTCCATGTGGAGTAGCTCCCAGTCTACTAAGGGTGACATAGGTCAGAAGAGAATCCTCCAAGGACGGAGAGCATCTCCCTGATGCTGGAAACACATTGCAAACAAAATAAGGGCAAATACTGAGGTTTAGGGCCAGTTATGCAAAACAACCAAAGCTGAGTCAGGCTGAAAAGAAAGTAGGTGGTCTCTGAGAAAACAACTGGCCGTTACTGTGTCTGCCCTCCTTGCACCAGGACCTACCAGGGTTCTCCCACTCCGAGATTTGGTGGGGAGACATTGAATGTCTCTGCTAGACAATCTCTGCAGTAAAATGACTTTGACACTCTTATTTTCATATTTGCCTGAATTTTATCACCATTATGAAATTATGCAATGGAAACAGCATTTGAAGTTCATTTGAATCCCTGTTTCCAGGTGTCAATAAACACTTTTAAGTGAACAGCTCTTTGGCCCCAAATGGCTCCTTCCTGCTGCCTGGTTCTTAGTTACCCAATCAAGGAAAATCATATCTTCCACCTCCTGCCATGTATCTTGGAATCTGCTTTATTTTAAGGATGTGAAGTTGGCAAGTTCCTAGTACTGGATATGGCACAGAAGTTCTGCCAAAGTTCTTGCCAGAGTTGGGGGAGGCAGAAACTATGAGTAATTCATCAATCAAGCCATGACATGAACATCACTGTGGACTTGAGTTCAGAAATCTTGATTTTCATGCATTTAGTCAAAGAATCCCTTCTGGGACATCAGCCCATAATGTCTACACTGGGGCTTCCATGGTCCACACACTGCCAAGCCGGGGATTTCTACCATATGGGTTGCCCGTGTCAGGCTCTAAGCAGGACATGGCCCAGCTTCACAGCTCAAAGTGGGCTGGGATAAAAAGATGTAGACGTCAGTGACAGGTGCTGCTCTAGATACAGCATGCGCTCTAACTCCTTGACCCTCATCACACCCCATGAGGGTCATGGACCATCACTGTGCCCACCTGGTTAGGAATGGAAGTTCAGAGGGTGAAGGACTCATGTGGTGGAGGAACAGGGGAGGAGCCAGGGTGGAGAGGACACTCGGCTTCAGCTCCTACTCAGCCACCAACTTCCCTGGGCAGATATGGCCAAATCTGGGTGACTCTTCCTATCAGATCCTTATCTCTTGAATGAGTGCCCTCTATCCTGCAGGCTGGGGCCCTGCTCTCTGGGATGCAGTATGGACCTGGGGGCAGCTGTGTGGCACTCTGGTCGAGCACTGGGACTTTGGAAACAGGTGGCACTGGGTGTGTATTCAGACTCTGTCCCTTCTTATTCATATTCCTGGGACAAGTTATTGAACTTCTTGGGTCTTGGTTTCAGGATCTACAAAACCTTGAATACAGCAAATGCTTAATACATGTGTGCATTCAGTGAGTGTTGGTGCTGAGCTATGTGGCTGCCTTTCTGCACATTGGGTAAAGACCTCAAATATTTTCTTTCCTCTGGGGCTGAAATGTCTTGAGGACCAACATTCACTCACTCTTTGAGAATGAGCACATTCATAAAGTGGGAGTAGCTCCTTGTCAAATAAGCAGGGGGACTGTGCATTGCTACTGCTCAGTGGCCAGAGCCTTTAGCAAAGTTTATGTGCTTTTCTGTCCAAGACTGTGTATCTTGGGATACATACAGGAAGGTTATATTGGTGCCAGGTAAAATATACACAAACTCCAAGGAAGTCCAAACACCATGAACCCAGGACTGGCACTGAAATCCTTGCATCTGAGGGACAAAAGGCAACTAAGGAGTAGGTGAGAAGTTGCGCCATGAGCATAGCTAACTCTTCTTCTTGATTCTGTCTACAACCCACCATGCCCAGGAGGTCAAAGAGATATCAAGAAATGACTGTCTCAATAGTAACATGTGACCTTCACGTTGTAACTTCAAATGCTTCCAAGGAGTTGGCTCTGAGCACAGACCAGGCCTGGCCCTCTTCCTTTCCCCTTATCCCTCACCACTGTCCTCATTGCTCTGCACACTCCTTTAACTTCTCAAATATGCCACACTTCATCTCGCTACAGGGCCTTTGCACACACTGCTTCCTTTACCTGGAATGCCTCCCTCCCCATTTCACATAGTTTAATACCAACTTCTTTTTCAGACTTCAACTCCAAAGTCACTCTCTGGGCTGCCACCCCAGACAGATCTGACTCTTCTCAACACGCTCTCCAGGCTCTGGTACTTGTCCTTAAGGAGCTTAACACACAGGATGCACGATGTCTTCTGCACTCAGCTCTAACTTTACTACTGGGTCCCCAGCACTAGCCACATGGGAGATGCTTGATAAATACCAATGCTTGGGTGACAGTATGATTTCAGCTAAGACTCCTGGGGCCCAAGTACTCTTTTCTAAGCATTTGGATGAATCCCTGAGACTCATCAAAATGGCACCAAGTATCTTAGGGACATATACAGAGCTTTTCTGTAATTATAATTTTAAATTAATAGACTGCCAGACCTCCTAACTCATCTCCCTGCCTTTACGCTAACCCCACTCTGATGCACAGGGAATCAGAGGGGTTCTTCCAGAGGGACAGTCTGATCTGCCTTAATCTCTCTGAGACCCTCCTTTGTGCCCAGGATAAGGCCCCAGATCTTATGGCTCCCTGCTTCCCTGCCTACCCCTCCCCGCATCTGGGTCAGGAATGCCCCCAAGATACCACATCTGCATGCCTCTATGGATTTGACTGCCCTGCCCCTTTCACCCCAGCACGTCCCTCTCTTCCTGTGGTGGGGCTTCAGAATCAGTTACTGAGAGAGTCCTCCTGGCCCCTTGTCAGCCTGAGCTCTGGGCCGGGTGTCTGTGACTGTACCTTTTGTGTCCTTCCATTACTGTTCCATCCATCAGTCTGTCTTAGGAGATGGTGACCCCAAGGACAGAGTCCATCACGGAGTCACCTGGCAGCCCCGCACCACACAGCACCTGGAACACAAGGACCTTCAGCTTGGATGTGCTCTCAATCAACAAGGAAGTCCTGCCAACTTGGGGTGGGATTGGACACCAGACAGTAAAAATTTGTTCTTACTGTCCCTTATGAATCATCAGAGTATCTGTAAAGTCCCAATATTTTGCCATTGAAGTGCATTCTTCATCTCCATGGCTACCCTACACTCTCAGCCCAGACCCCTCCACTGCCACCACTCACCTGGATGATACAATATGCATCTAATTTTTCCCTTTGTGATTCTATATTCTTCACATTAAGCCTGATGGGTCATTTTAAAACAAAAACCAGAGCATGTCACTTTCCTGCTTCAAACCCTCACTCCCTTCCCATTATACCCAGAATAAAATCCAAATTCCCTGTAATATCGCGCAAGTTCTGGTGGTCCAGCCCTGTCTGGTCCACCATTATTACCTCCTCCTCTTTGTGGACTTAGATGTGTTGCCTTTCAGATCTCAAAACATAGGGCTAGACAACGTGGCACCTTCTGAAATGTAAAAAATAGGGCCTTCCTGTGGATGGAGGCTTTCATGCGCTCAAGAAGGTACCCCTTTCCTTGGGCAGATGCAGTCCTAAAACAGGGTTCGTGGCTAGGTGAGTGGCCTTGCACTGGACCACAGAGCCTCTAGGGCTTTGCTGGACATACCCTGCTCCCTCCCACCTCAGAGCCTTGTTACCTGCTGTTGCTTTCCTGAGGACCTTAGCTACTGCAGGGATATTTTAGGGAATGTAAGATTTCTGGTGTTCCAAAATTCTGCAACAATTTTAACTAAAGTCTCTCATTTCATTCTTTTCCACTTTGGCTCACTTATGTTTGTCCTTTTCCATTGCTTGCTTGGTAGGGTCAAGGCAGCTAATTCTGTCTTTTCTTTAAGTGACATAATGATCACTTGGTATAGGCAATCCCAGACACATGACATTTATCTGAGCTTTACATAGCATCAGAGGTCTCAAATCAACAAACCACTTTTCAGCCTGTTACTTTTGCAGAAAGATGACAGCAACAAAACACGGTTTGTTGTTCCTTCATCAGCCACCTCCCAGGTTGACTGTGGGTCAGTGCGGATTCCATTTAGCATCTGACGTCCGCCCCAGTCTAGCTGGCTCAGGATTGGGGCTGAGCCTGGGGGCCTAACCTCTTCTCCAAGATCCTGCTCCAGTCGGTCTAGGAATCCACCCCACCTCAGAGATTCTGATAAGGCAGATTTGGGGACTGCTGCTCTGAATCCAGGGCTCTGTTAAAAACTAACATTCCTAATGAGCCTTAGCATGGTGCTAGTTTGATGTGGTTTCAACATCCTCAGAGGAAAATGAAGTCTTGCCCAGCACCACAGTTTCCAGGTACTGTGAGTGGGCTGGGGCTTCCTGGGTCAGGAACAGGAGGGGTGTGGTGAGCCTGCACACAGACTGGCCACATGCCAGGGGGCTACCAGCCTCCAGCAGCCCTCCCTGTGACGTGCTGGAGGAGGTGGGCACTACTCCATTCTCCTGGCAGCTCAGGCTGGCAGAGGCCCCTATGACCTCACAGCGGTGACCTGGCAGGTGGCTCCCTCTCCTGCTACCTCCCCCACCTCTTACAGGGCTCCCTGGCCCTACCTGCTGACACTCAGCTGGGCATTAGTGATGGTATCAAGTGCATTTAAGTCCACCCAACTTTTGATGGGTCTACCTCGTTCCCATGGGCGTTTTCAGCAGGGCGAGCCCAGGGCAGGGGGAGCAAGGCACTCAGGCTCAGATGCTGGCTGCGCTCCTGCAGGGCCCTGAGCACCGCCTCAAGTTTGCACCCTGCCTCACTTGCTCACCCTGGTCCCATCCTGACTTTCAGGAAATTGGAATATGCAAATTCATTAAAATAACCTATTCCACCCAGGTATTTTCTGGAACTCACTGTACTAATGTTTCTTCATTGTTTTTCATAGACCATAACCCTCTAAACGGAAGGCCCTCTGGCCCCAAACTCTTGAGAGGTCAGAATCATTCTGCTTGGTCAGCACTCACACATTGTTACAGGCATTTAAAACAGGTATCTACTCTAGGACAATGGCATAAACAAACCCAATGGCAACCTGTGAATCCTGCCTGCTTTAGCCCATCTTGGCCAGCACAAAACACACAGGTGGGCTGTCAAAGAAAAACCCCAGGTTCAAAGAGGACTGCCTGGCCTGCTGAGCCCAGCCTGGAGTTTATTAGCACAGTTAATATCGCATGCAAATAGATTTCCCCACTCCGGTCATGCCGGTCCATTAATTCAGCCTCTTGTCTGCTACATCTTTATATCCTTGGCAGGTGAATCCTACCAAACGCCTTTGCTGTAGCACACGTCACACTATGCCCACGTCCAACAGCGCAACTGTGCTAATGCTGCCGTGTCAGCTCTGTGGCCCTATCTGCTTGAGCCAGCGGCGGCAAAAGGGTATGAAGGGATATTTGGCAAGGATCTTCCCTCTTGCTCTGACACCCACCTCATCCTTTTTTTTAAAAATATGGTTTCAATTAAATAGTTTGAAAGTCAACCACAGTGTCTGGACAGCTGCCAATGCCAATGTCTTTCTGACAAGAATGTCAAGGCTCTTGGAGGGCCCCCAAGCTGCTTCGAGCAGCCTCCCCCAGCCGTCAGCTGAATATGCTAAATGGGAAGGGTTAGAACAGGAAAATCCACCCATCTTTTTCCTTGATTCAACAAGGAGGGGGCTTGAAAATGGCCAGAGGGCATATGTTTCACCATTATCTTTGGTGCCAACCTCTTTACAGTTTAGAGGATCACTGATGTCATTATCTGAAGGAGCCCGTCCCTTCCTGCAATCACCTTTGTCAGGGACCCGCCTGATGCTGGGAGAAGCTGCATCTTCAGGCCCCACAGTACATGGCTCCTCTTGTCTGTGGCCCAGCGGGGTTAAGAGTGTGGGCCTTGTAGTCAGATTCACCCAGGTTCAAATCCTGGCTGGGCCACGCTTTACCTCTGTGACCTCAGGCAAGCTGCTTTACTTGTCTGGCTTTGCTTCCCCATCTATACAATGGGCCTAACCACAGCACCTGCCACACGGGATTCCTGCGAGGATTGCGTTAATACATGTTAATCACTCAGAATGGTGCTGGCACACAGTAGCAGGCACTGGGTAAATGTAAGCTAATGCTAGCATAGATTGTGAAATTTATCAAAATTCACTGTTATTTGCAGCTTACTGTAGTACATATGCAAAGTGGGTGGTAAAATTCCACATGGGCCTTTTTTTTAGGGTCCTCATATGTAAACTCCACTCTCCTGCCTGCTCAGGAATCCCAAAAATATGAATGTGAGGTGCCCTTTCTACATCCCCTACCATTGGTCTCTGTGCTCCCCCTGGCAGTCTTGGTGGGTGTGAAGAGGGCAGTTCCAGGCATGTAAGCACAGGCCTTTGGGTGATCCCCAGGTACTAAGTTCTGGGCCTGTGACTATGGGACTCAGCAAGGTGCACAATATGTGAGACAGAATCCGGACACTAGGGATGGAGGGCCTTGGTTCTACACTGCAGGGTTATCATACTGAGTGAAAAGGCACATGTGTGGTGCTCGGCATACTGCTGAGAACACAGCAATTGCTCCATAAATAATGACTATGATGGCTGTGGAGGCCCCTTAAGGCCACAGGGCTTCCCTCTCCAACCCTCCATCTATCTGCCTTCTAATGTCCCTGCAGCCTTTATGGAGACGTCACTCACATGGGATCCTGTAGAGAAAGCTCCCAGCACAGGACCTGGCCTCCAACACAGGTTCAGAAAATGAAGTCACACTCACTGCTGCTTAATCACTGTTTACCCTGGCTTGTTTCTTACCCCAGATGTTCTCAGAGCCATACAGTCCCTTGAGCATTAGTCTCTGGTCTGAGTCCTTCTCGGCCTATAGGTGGTTTGTAAATAACATGCACAATGTATAGATTTGAAACTGCTCTTGTGATTGGGTAGAGCTGAAATAAGCATTTTGATATAGGCACTTAAATGCTTTTATGATGACCTCGAGGGCAGAGGATTAAGCCTTTTTGGTACTGGGTGCGTCAGGACAGGATTTCGCCCTCAACGCAAGGGAGGGAATTTTGCTGTTCAGAAGAACTGTTTGCTTCCCCTGGCAACCCAGCCATCAAAAACCACCTGCTTCTCCTAGATCCTGATAGATCTAATAAAGAAAGTCCTATCATTAGTTGAAAACTTACTATGTCCTCAGTAGTAGGTTGGGCACTTCCGTCATTCTCTCGTTGAATTCTAGTTGAAATGAGAGACTACAGTCTCACCAATTTCCCACTTTAAGAAAATGGAGAAATAAAAGTATTACAGTACTAAAACAAACAACAAACAAACAAACAAACAAATAAGACCTGGCAGCTTGGAAATGACAATATACCCGAAGTTGCAGCTAGAAAGTGGCCACAAAGCGGTGATCTGAGCCCCAGGCTGCTGGCTTTCAAGGCTACTAGGCTACATTACATCTTGGTATGATGTCATTTCTTCTGTTGGGCATCTCAGTCAAGGGCAGGCCTCCCAAATTACCAACTAACTTTAGCATTTATTAGTTTACAGCCATGCAGTATTTCCCTTTTCATTTTATTTTTTAATGAATTCTGTTCTTAGGGCTTTTTATTGGGAGGATGGTGTGGGGAATATAGGAAGAAAAAGAAAACCCTAAGATTCCTTTTCTGTAAAAATAAGGAAATGACAGCATCTAGCATGTGCTAGTGATTGGAAATATCCTATATATCTCAAGTCTACTACTGCATAGATCTTAATCCAGCTTTCTTTTGCCAATCTCTTGGATAGAATGGGCTTGTAATATTTTATGCTAATCAAAACATGATGAAATCATGCTATTTGCAAAATGAGCAATTCTGACCCTCTGGCCTCTACAGCTCAGGCAAGTCCACTGAGGCACACCTGTGTGTTGCCTTGGCAAGAATTCCTGGTGAGAGGGCAGTCCATCTAGCTTGAGTCTTAAGAAAGCCATGCTTACCTAGCAGAACGCAAACATCTCTGAACTTTGCTTACTGGATAAAAGGCAGCATTAGCTTCCCATTGCATTTCCTCCAGCAAGATCAATCACATCCCAGCCAGACATGTGGGCTCATGATTAATCCCACAGAAGCAAAGCTCCTCCTTGCAATGGATTGCTGTGTCTGACTGCAGTCTTCCATGGGGAAGGATGGGGGAAAAAATAAAGGCTGGGAGCAGAGTAACAAGCACCCAACATTTGACAAGGCTCCTCCATGCCATGTGCTGCAGGACTTTTCCTGGTTGATTTACTGTAAGAAAATTTGTTTTTGCCAGAAATGCTACTTAGTATCATGGAGGGGGTTTGTGATTTCTTCTTTTCTATGGCGTAAATTTGGTGTCCAAGTTGTGTGTTTCTGTTGTTTCCTGAGTAACTTCAGTCTCTTTGGTGGTTCTAGGGATGTGCCCTGCACTCACATATCCTGTTAGAGGGATAGAAGGTGCTCAGGTTTCTCTACTGAAAGAGGATTTAGCTGATGATTTCATACCATTGAAAGACACCTGCTTTTGACTTTGCTCTCAGGATTCTGCTTTTCTAATTCTTCATTGAATTAAAAATGCTTGAAAGTTGTTGAGTTTCCTCTTTTTTTAATGGTCATTTCAGTTACTAGGTTTGTTGAGTGTGTGTCTAGGAGTGGGGTGATAGTAGGGCAGTGGAAATCCCACATGCCTCCATCAGAGGCGGCGAAGACTGAGGCACTAAGAGCTTCCAAAAGGGCTGTCAGTTCCTTGCCTTTCCCAAATAATATTGCTTGTTGTTATTTTAGGGACCAAGGAAAATGCAGGAAAAGCTTGCTTTAAAGAACCTAATATATGGAAGCCTCGATTTATACAAAAATCACAGAAGGAACGACTCCTTCAAGAGATCTAGGACTCTGTACCTTGAATGTGAGACACACCTCATTTTGCAGATCTGCCCAGTGTATGAAGATAAAGAGGCACAGCTGCATCTATGCCTGAAAGGGATTTCTTTCAAAAAAGCACCTCCCTCCCCTCCAAGTCCTGGAAGGTGTACTGACAACAGGAGGGTTATTTCCTACCCTGGTGTGTGACAAACACCTATTAATAAACAAACAAGACTACGCTGTCTCCATTTTCCCTCAAACACTAAGCCCCACGTGCACTGGCTGGACAGAGGCCTCCATGGGGTTACTGACCTCTCCCGTTCTGTTGCCGGCCCTCTGGACAAGCCTGAGCCTCCTGCACCCAGAGAGACAGGGTTGAGGAGGTGGCTGGGGCTCCCCACCCCATCGGTGTGCTGCTCCCCCTTCCTCCTGGCATGCCCCTTGTCTTGACACTTGGCACTTCCATTGTCAGAGGATAAAATGTTTTCTTCTCAGACAAAATGTAGACTGGGGAGCTCCATCACACAGCTTTTCTCGGGAAAGAAAAGAAACTGTTGATTGAAAGTCTTGACTAGAACTGAGGCCCCGAGGCCTGGCTGGGCAGTTGCGGTTCTCAGCAGAGACTTGTTCTTTTCTGGAAGTCCTGCCCCCTCCTGTAATTCCTGGCCACAGAGCCCTGCGGAATTTTCCCTGCAAGGTTCTAAGGCCTCTGTCCAAGCAGGTTTGCATTCTCCTCTCCAGAATTTCTTCCAAGAAATTTTCTTAAAAAGAAATGCAGCAACTAATATATAGTCTTGGAGGAAGAAATCCTTTAAATGAAATGTGGTTTAACACAGTAGCAAAGGGAGGTAGAACAGAGTGAATTATCTCTAAGACTCCACAAAATACTCAGGAAAAGATAACGGGGAACTGGCATCTGCGAATGGGTGAGTCAGCACCCCCGTTACAGGCGCAGCCCGAGCTGGGGGAAATGGCGCCCCGCCCGCGGTGACTCTGAAGTCTCACGTTCACAGCCTGTTAGGGGCAACCAAATGTTATTCACAGATCACTAGCAAAACCGAAGGACAAAGCATAGACTGAATCTTTCTGTGGCTATTAACCAACTTCTGGTGCTCAGAGCAGTTGTCTCATAGGAGTCACTACCAGGCTCCAGACCTAGGCACATTGCTGGCATGCCTCTTGCAGCTCAAGGACCCACCTCTGCCAGCTGCTAGAGGAGACTCAGCTCTGCCGGAGCGAGTCAACTGCTCTATGGCTCTGGCCTAAGGAGCCACCCTCCAAGGCACTTCTGAGTCCTGGGGGCAGGGGCAGCTTTCTGGCACCTGGAGGGGCTCATATGCCCAGGCACAGGGTTACTCAGAAGAACAGGAAGGGAGGGTGGGTCAAGGCAGACGGCAGAATCCCGGGGTCCCTGCAGCTTCCCTGGTGACACTTTAAAGAAATCCTTTGTGTGATTATTTATGGATGAAATCGAATGAGGACCACTTAGACAAATGTCCCTGGGACTCTGCACAAAGTAAAGCACTTTTGAAACCCTACGTATTTTAATTTAAGCATATATAAAGACAGTACAATTGACCCTTGGACAACATGGGTTTGAAATGCATGGATCCACTTACATGTGGATTTTTTCAATAAATAAAATGGATAATTTTTTGGAAATTAGAGACAATTTGACAAAACATTTTCTTTTTTCTAGCTTATTTTATTTTAATAATAGTGTATAAAACATGCAACATACAAAATATGTGTTAACTGACTATGTTATCAATAAGGCTTCTGGTCAACAGTAGGTAATTAGTACTTGAGTTTTGAGGGAGCCAAAAGCCTTTTGTTGATGTTTGGCTGCACAAGGAGCTGGCGCCCCTACGCCCCTGCATGGTTCAAGGGTCAAATGCATCGTGAGAAGGGGTCCATGATGTGGAAAAGATCCAGGACCCCTGCCCCTTGCAGATGCCACGGGAGGGTGGAGAACGTCACGTAGGTCAGGACACAGCTCCACCCTCAGAACTGTCACTGGATTTTGCTGCCTTCAAAGGCCTTGTGATGAGCCTCAAAGCCAGACCCATGTGCCTTGCACACCACCAAGGCTGCAGCCAACTCAGAACCCCAGCCTAAGGCACAAAAAAACCCCGCTGGCCTTCAGGAACTGCTGAGCCTTTCCACCCTTTCCTGGACACAAAGCAAGACAGCCAGCCTCCCTCATTCTGCAAGAAACGTCCAGAAGATGGTCAGCTCATAATCACTCAAACTTTGAACTCAGCAAAGGCAACCTTGGGACTCAGCTGAATTTCATGGGGGCTATTCTGGCCCAAAGAAGGCTGTCTTAGCTCTGGGCTGAAAGACAGTGGGTGGGGTGGGTGGGCATGAGAGGTGGGGAAGCTGCCAGCCTGGGTACTCACTACTAGATCTGCATTTTTTTTAAGACAAAGTGATAGGGACAGCAAACATTATCACATCACCTTAAAGTGCCTCTTATCTCTTGTTTGACTCACTGCTTCCAGTATCATGCATGGATGGCGAAAGGATGGAGAATTTCCTGTTTTAGGGCTGGGGTGTTCTCGTCCTTCCCTCCTCCTTCACCCCCCTTCCACATCCTTAGGAAGGAAAAGATGGTGAGGCAACATTCTTCAGACAGAGCACCAAGATTGCAACCTGGCTGCCGTCAAGCTTTGTCGCCTCGCTCCCAGAGGCAGCACCTCAGACCCAGGGGCTCTGACGAGGGAACTTCCAAAGAAAGCTGGAGAGAAAGGGGTGAAATGAGAATACCCTCCACAAAGCTGTCTTCTCTGCTGAAGATGCACCTGACCTCCATTCCCCTCATCCTTGACAGGCACTAAAATGGGAGGAGACGGGGAATGGGTCACAGTTTTGTCCCCATTTGCAGATGGGGCAAAATGAGGCAGTGGGTCTTAAACTTTTCTGGGGCAGCCTATTAACCCTTATGAAAATCACAGGTTGGTGGGGGCCATACAGATCTTGTAAATGTCTTTAAGTTTTCTTTGAAGTAAATTTTGTTTCACAGTTTATTTTCTTTGCTGCTATAATGCATTCAGGCCAGATGAAAAACATGGCAGCCTGTCCACATTTACTGACTGAGTTGGCGGGATGCTCCAGCGAGCAGGCTGTACGTCAGGACTGGAGATAAGGCTCACTGCTGTCATGACCAGGGCGCCGGCAGATACAAACGCTTCTGTTGTCTTTTCAGTCTGAACCATCTGTTACTAGGACATTGGCAGCTTATTCAGGTATATTAAATCATGACCTTTCCTCCTTGAGGGAAGCCCTGGTGTCAGAGGTGGGAGCTACCTGGGTGAGCCCGGGCTGCTCACCTACCCCAAGCTTCATCTGCATAATGCAGAACAGAGGACTGGGTTATTATAACCGAACAGGACAATGTGTCC